TGTTTCTTGAGCATGAATTTACAGTCAGTCGTCTTGGAGAGAAAATGGTGTAAGAAAGTGAGTATTGCTTCAAGTAAACATCTAGCTACCTCTGTTTGCATTCTTCCGAGTCTTTCTTTCACGCACAATTGCACGAAATTATTGTTTGCTTCAAAATTGGACGGTTGTTTGTTCATACGACTGCATGTTAAAGGCATAGTTAAATTTAGATTACCAGATCTATATATATACTTATTGAGGTCGCATTTTAGATGAGTTGACGGTCTCTCTCGATCCCTTTCTCTCTCTTTTTGATCTACAGGATCCAGAATCCAACAGCGGATACAATCTTGAAAACGGGTTGAGGATCATTATCTCTCTCTTTTTAAAAAAAATAAAAAAGACAAAAACCATCATCTTTTGGTGTCTTGCGTGTCTATCATTTTTTTTTCTTTAGGTTACTCTAGCTAGTTACGAAATATTGTTTAGAGAGAGATCTGAGATGAGCAGAAGCTTAAAAGTAGAAAAAAGGGTATTAATGGTATGCTTTTCAGTGTGAAATATGTACTCTGATACAGAGTCCATTAAAACAAGAAAAAAACCTAAAGTTGTTGATTTTTGCTAAGATTCCTACTTTTAACGTTTAACTGCTGAGAACTACAGTTGCTTTCATCACTTGCTGCCTGTCGCTCGCTGCCAGTATTTTACCATTATATCTTGTATAATTAACAGAATTTCATCTCAGTTTCATTAAAGCATGCACTTGCATTAATGGCCTTGGCACAGCTGTCCTTGGGGAAACACCCCTTTTTTCCTCTTTTTCCATTGAATCGTGGAATTTAAATATATAGATGCATGCAGCGTTGTCAGTTTAGACATAGTTGGGTTGATAAAAGAGAAAGTTTCTCATTTCTTATTGATTTAGGGTTTAATTCTTGTGAAAAAGGTATTCCAAAAATAAAATTTTGAAAGCAACTGATATAAGTAAATGCATCTTTAAAATGTTTTGAATGGAAATTAAATTTAGACAAAAGCCTGCGGATACCTATATAGAAGGTTAAAGTTTTTATATATATATATATATATTACTATTCATATATTATGATTGCATCTATGTTTTAACATTATATATAAAAAAACCATTAGGCTTTAACATCACGACAAAAAGATTTAAAGTTGCATCGATGAAATGAGCAGATATTCACTAAGTTCCTATCAAAGATTTTAGGAAAATAATGAAAATTTCAAGACAAAGGAAAAGACATTATGTTCTTAAATTAATACTACTTCTTTCTTCCATATTAGGCGTTCTTGCTTAACTTGCATTCAGTTTAAGAAAAAAATTTTGATTTTAAGGTGTTTCATAAAATTTTAAATTGTTTTATAACAGAAAATGTAATTTTTATGGCTTTTAATCAAGAATTTTACAAAAGATAATATAAAAATAATTTGAATGGAGAGAACAATCATTGAGACAAATGATGATTAATTATTATTATTATTATTATTATTATACCCTTTTCATTTGTATTGTTTTAGGGTGTGTGTTTATATATATATATATAACAAAATTCAGTATTATGATATTTATTATGACTGGACGACACCATTAGTTTCAGTTGAGTTTATTTTGTGAACTTTGCACAAAATTATCATTAGGCTTCGGAACTTACCCATCCAATTGTGAATGGTGAGTGAAACTGAGTTGATATTACCAACTCTAAAACCCAAGAAAAAAATGACAGACAGAGTGGAAGGAGCCCAACATTGTCCTTGAGCAGGCCGAATAAAAGTAAGTCCCAAATGGGCCCCCATCAGCCCATTAGCTTGGGTTGAGTTGGCCAACTGTTCAGTTCTTAGGGATTTTGAGTATGAGCGGTGCAATCTCCTTAATTTATTTCTTAGGGAACGGAGAGTTCGGCTAGCCTAGCTTCAACGATTTAATCCATCCATACGCTATACTATACTGCATCCATATATATATATATATATTAATTAGTGTTCATGGATGGAATGCATACATATCCACATATATATGATATAATGAGCAGTCAAATACTAACAGCCGCATATATAATATGTTAATGGTGAAATGTAATATATATATATATCAATATTATCTCTTACATTTCGAAATAAATTTGAATTCAAAATCTTCACTGTTAGCATATATACATGTAATTGTAAAAGTTCTTAGATTGCTATAAATATTATTTTCTTGTTTGTCGGCTATTTTATTTGGTTTGATTATATAGTTATAAGGAAATTAATAAAAATCAAGATTTAATTATGATATATATGGACAAGTAGTTGAGAATTTAGCTGTTATTTCTTTTTGTTTCAGGGCTTAATTTGTTTTCTTGGTCACTTGCTAATAAGGCTAAAGGGCATTAAAGTTAATTTGGGAGCTATGTAGTTGTTAGATGTATTAGTTAAAGCAGATAAGAGCATGCATGCATTAGCCCAGGGCATGCATCTCCCATGTGTCCCCCTCCTTCCCTGCAAAACTGGTGTGCTATGTTTAATTTCTTGACCCAACTTTTCCGCAATTCCCGTTTTCTGTATTCTCTCTCTCTCTCTCTCTCTCTCTCTCTCTCTATATATATATATATATATATATCATCATCATCATCATCAACATCTATCATTAATTTGTGTTCCAACTTGCTTCAAGCTGATGCCAACAGCCATCTAATCATACAAACATGTCTTGAGTGAGTTGAAAGAGATATCTCAAGAAATTAGATAACTCCATGTCTTATCCCGATGGAGAAATTAAAGGAATAGTTAATACAACATAATCATAACATCTGTTCATTGTACTATTGCTATTTCCATGCATGGCCAGATCAGTTACGTATTGAATGTTGTTTTTTGTTAGTTACCTTAGGAGACAAAACAAATCAAATTAAGATAAAAAATCATGCCTGTAGAGAAACCTCTGCATATTTATATGATAAGTTAATTACCCAATGACAATTTCTGTGTCTTAAAAATGTTTGTTTTCTCTGGAATGTACGGTTCAGCTCGCGATTCCAGCTGTTTTCTCTAGTCGTCAACCACTAACATGAGGGGCTTGATATTGAAGAATACAACATAAAGGTGTAGCTAGCATATATATGTATAATGCTTGGTGAGCTGAATGCATTGGAGATCTGATAAAAGACTTGTCATCCGTGACTTATTTGTCTGTTAAGATGCTTCTCCATGAGTAGTACGTAGTTCCCATCAACATGATTCTTGAGGTGAGGATTATAAAATGAGATGTGTCCAAAGCTTAAATTTCCAGGAATCCATTTTATGTTTCTGATTGTTGTGCAAATGGAAGGGAGAAATTATATATATATATATATATATATATATATATATACACATATATATATTCAGGTTTTAATGAGAGTGTGATTGAAGATTGAGGCATGCACAATGGTCCACCTAGAGGCTAGTATGGATGACATTGAAAAATATGATGTGATACCTTAAGATAAGAAAGCTATCTAACTTTCCAGATAAGGACAGAGCAGCAAAGCTCCATGGCAAAAATCAAATCATTAAAGTTAGCTATGCTACACTGTGGCCTGTACATATACATAGAGGGTGCATATATAGAAACCTAAGCATGACAAATTGAGTCTTACAATCAAATCTGGGAAGATACACATGGACTATGTGGCATGACGAGAAACTGTGTTGATCAGGCATTTGTTATAAGAACTTGACCTAGAATACAATCAGACTGTTGACTTTGAAGGTTGATATGGAAATGCAGTAAACTCTTCTAAAAGGAGTTTTTAGTTTAGTTTTTTTTTTTCTTCAGACATCTACAAATAGATTGATCAGGTCGAAATCAATAGAAAAGCTACTTTATTTATTCTTGGATCAGAAATATGATCCCTATTTGTTTTACGTCTACATAGTAGGAAAGGATGTGACTTGAAAATTTCAACTTCACTCATGGTTAATCCATATTCTTTCTTGAGTAAATTATCAAAGATCAAATGAGAATAGGCAGTTTTAACTCCTTTAACAAAGCAGTTTTGATAAGAATGAATTCATTGGGTTAGCAAAATAAATGCATATATACCTGCCTTCCAGTCTTCAATGGCATTCATGCATATGTTCCCCCAACCAAAGCTTCTTTTAATGATTTTCCAATGTCCTCAATTGCTTTCTTGCTATGCCTACTTATTCATATGGTTTGTATTTTACATTTAAGGAAAACACTATATATATATATATATATATATATATATATGTTAAAGCAGCAAAGCATGATCGGCTAATATTGTACGGACATGTTAAAAATAATTAAAATCTTATAGTAATTTATTTTCCCCATGTCCCCATAGGGCTTTTGTGGTCTTATAGGTTTATGAGTGCGATACGTTTGCTGATATGGTCATAAGGCTGCATGCTGTTGGCCTGCGCACCAAAGAAATAAAGTTTGAAGCAGAGGGAGCAGTAAGATTATCAAAACATTAAGGTATGGAGATTAAAATCTATTCATTAATTTGTATTGATAATTTTAAAAACAAAATTCAAGGTATAGGATAAATAGGTATGCAATAGTTAAGTACAATTCATGTCTATCACAGTATAGACCAGCATTAATAAAAGTACCTTCGGTAATCTAATTTATTGGACAGATTTTCCTGATAATTTTCATAGAAAATTCTAACCAAATCCCAAGTTTCCACAGGAGCATGTCTTCAATTGATATTAAAACAAATTTTCTCCTCAAAGTTTTTTTTTTTTTTTCTGATTTATTTGTTCTCATTAATAAAACAATTCATTACTGTAAATTTTTTTAATATTATCTTAATCAGTGTCTAATGACAATGGTTAACATTTCTCTATAACTATATATATAACATGAAAAATTGTCTTCCGCCTCAGTAGATGACAAACTTGATATTGAGTTTGTTCTCTTAATTGTTTTCAATAATATATAATTTATCTATTTTGTCTCTGATTCATCAGACAACTTTATATCTTAGTAATAAGAAAGAACACAGACAGTACTCAGAAATAAGTGAATGACTCAAAGCACAAATTCAAATTCTGATAAACTTCATAGAAGAAATACAATAACAATACTCAATCCACTCATCCATTAATTACCAGAGAGGATTCATCACACAGAAATCAAGCTGAAGATAGCCGTAGAGTTGTTTGACATAATTAGGAAATAGGAAGGGTTCATCAACATTGATCATTGATAAAATTTGTGGAATTTGCTGGCAACAGCAGAATTTTCTTGGTAATGTGAATGCAAACCAATGTCTGAGGTGGACATAAGAATTGAAGTAGGGCTTCTTCCTTCATGGGCAACATTTGAGGGGGTCATCAAGTTATGGTTCATTATTTTTGCATATGAGTTGACCAAGAGATTTGAACTAGGGTTTTCCCCTTGGGTCATAAAAATAGGACGAGACTTATGGTCTTGACCATTTGGATCCGTCATGAAAATTATACTAGGGTTTTGTTCTTGGGCATTACCTGTTGATTCCTTGATGTTTGTCATCGAACAGTAATTGTATTGGATCCTTTCATTGTTCATGCCCCAATCTCCCGAAAAAACTGCACAATTTTCCTCTGAATTTTCTCCGCTTGAGTCTGCAATATTGTTGTGCGAGTAACTGAACATAGATGACGATCTTGTTGCTCTAGCGATACCCAGAAATTTCTCAAAGATGCTTGCAGAATCCATTTGATGTTCTAGCAAGTGTACAGCATTTTCGTGGCGTTGTTCTTCTTGCCCGGCCACTACCTTGTGACAAGAGTTTGTTTGAGTAGAGGGAGCCGAATTTTCACCAGTTTCAAGGGGACTTGAGGACCGCAACCACTCCAATTCATTAGGGTTCGACTCATCTGAGCATTTTTTTGATTTCTCAAGCCCTCTCATCTTCATTTTCTCTCTAGTTCTCTCCCTTGCTCTTGCCCTCGCCTTGTCCCTGGATTCTCTTGCAACAGGATTGAATGACACTTCACGTGAGTTTCTTTCCTTCGTCTCTCTAGCTTTAGTGGTACTCCTCATAGATTCACCTCTTGCTATAATTACGCCTTGATGGTCTCCCATATTGTCTTCACACTCTTTGGCTGCTGAGACTACTTCACTTTCAGAGGTAGATGACACGCTCTTTCCACCTCCACTGCAGCTGCGGTTCATGCCGGGGAGGTTTTCTGTGAGTTCCTTGATAGCAGCCTTGGATTGAGAGAAAAGCCATTCAATAGTTCTGCTTGCTTTGTCGAAGCCTAACATGTCCTGAAGATCAAAAAACTTACGGGCAGTTTGAAGTGACAACCTCATACGCCGATCTCTTGGACCATGAGCTGTATAGATCTTGCTGTGTCTGTCTTTCTTTCCAGCTCTCTTTCGAGGAATCCCCTGTTTTGCTCCGTTAACGGTACTTCTCTTCCTATTGGTGGTGACCTTTTTGGTTTCCTTTGTTGGAGAAGCTGCGTTAACCTCAGAATATGGCGGTGCCATGTTACTACTGGTGACCAAGATTTGTTGTTGTGCTTGTGATAACAGGTGACTTATGAGCAAACCATCATCATCATCATCAATGAAGGGTGCAGGTAAGTACCAGAAAGGATGGGGAGAATCCTCCAGTGATGAGCCTACATGGTGTTTATCGCCTAAAAAAGAGCTTCCAGGCATGGTATGGGTGGTTAAGGGAAAAGGGTTGTAACTGTTGCTTGAAGGAAACATGGCCGTAACAACAGAAGAAGTTTTCTCGGTCTAGCTGAGGCTGAAATATTACGCTAGGAGCTGGCATTTATTGGAGACAAAAGTTATAATTCATCTTTTGTAATGGGGGAAAAGGTTAACTCAGGGGGCAGCTTGCAAGAAAATGAGAGAAAAAGAGAGAAGGGAATATGAATATGAAGTGAGGCCCAAGCTCCGGTACTGCGACACTTCACGTGGGTGCAGCTAGTTGTTTGATAGCAACCCTTCCTCTTTCTTTCTTTTCAGATAGAAAGATATGAGAGAGAGAGAGAGAGAGAGTCAAGAATTACAACAGGGAGAGGAGAGGGTAGACATGGCCACCTCTAGAAAACCTAGGTAGGGAGAAAGAAAGAAAGAAAGACAAGGACAATAATTAATTATAGCTAAAGAGAGAGGGATATGTACATACATATTGTAGAGGTAGAGTCTGCTTTTTCGGCCAGTGTCCATAGTTGGGCAAAGGGCTTTTTTGACTGGAAGACCAAATGTCGCTTTCGCGGTTTCATTTCCCTCTCATGACTGCCTTCACTTTATTATTATTATTATTATATTTTCGTTGGGATGCTTCCGGTATCATTTTCCTCCTCCTCCTTGAGCTGCCTCCTAATTATTTCCAAAACAAGTTTACTCTATCACCCAAATTCGTTTTCGGTCTTTCTTTCTTTTCTCACTCCTTTTTTTTTTTTTTTGAACTTCAATTGTATAAAAAAATATTTGTCCAATCACGAGATGACATAATTACAAAATTTTTAATTAATTAAAAATTTTTAACTGATAAATTTTTATTATTATATAAAATAATGACAACATTAATTATAATTAATTAAATATATAATTTGATAATTAAAAATAAATATACTTGTTCTAGTCTATTAAAATTCAAGAACTATTAATGTGGTCAATCAAAATTCACCAATGAGTTATTCAATTTATCTCTTAATTAAATTAAAATAATTTTAAAATAAATTCAAATTTCAAAAATTTATGGACCATCCAATTAAATTTCACCTATAGTTACATTCTTTTGGAACTCCCTCACCTAATGTTATCTAGTACTCTAAATAGAGAGCTCCTCTAAACCATTTGAAATAAGTTTTTTTTGGAGAAAGAAGGCTAGAGTTTCCACGACTTCGAAAATGAAGATCCAAAAATTAAAAAAAATAATTTTTTAAAGAGTGAAAATATAAAAACCAAGAATCTTGAGTTAGAGATATTTATTCAGTCCATTCGATTAATTTTGAGCTAAATTATATAAAATTAAATTAATTGAATTGTATTATTTTATTTTTATTAATTGAACTAAATTTATTAATTTCAAAAATTAACTAATCGAATTTAATTTGGGTAATTCGATTAATTTTTTCTGTTAACCAAATAATAAATACATTTAAATTAAATTATATTTTAAACTCTTAATTTCTCATATTTTAAATAAAATCAAATAAAATAATCTAATAAAACGTTCAAATACCTAAATATTATGTTAAAAACTCTAATAATATGAAATAAAATTATTCATTTTATGTATTTTTCACTTTATATTTAGATTATGTTGTTAAAATTTTGATTAATTTAATTAATTTAATTTTTGAATTGAATTAATTGAAAATCGAAATTTTGCTAAAATTATATTCGTTAACCAATCAAATTAATTTGATGACCAACCGATTAATCAAATTAAATCAGTTTGATCGAATTAAAACCAAATTATTAACACCCCTATCTTAAAGAAGAAGGCTTCAAGAAATCTTGGGAAAAAAAATCTGAAAATCAAGAAGAAAATCATGGAGAATGAAGACATGAATATCAAGTAGATTGATAGGGGAGAGAAGGTCAGAAGAATTTACAAGAATCCTGAAAAAAAAAAGAAGACTCGAAGAGGTCTTGGGAAATGAAGATCTGGAGAATTTTTTAGGAATGAATATATGAAGATCAAGAAGATGGTTCTTGGAGAACGAAGATATGACATAAATTCAAGATGAAGTCTGAAAAGCAAAATCTCTAAAATTCCAACAAACAAATGCAATAAGGAAGACATGAAGATCAAAACCTGAAGATTCAAAAATCCTTAGATGAGAACCAAATCTCTAGATGGGAACTAAGAACCAATTCCCTAGATGGGAAGTAAGATCTCAATGAAATCCCAAAATTTGAGTCCATATGTCTTTAATTCAAGATTAAATCATTAAGATCTTTGAAGCGAAGTATTTATTTCTTCAATTCAATAATATGTCATTAAATATCCTTGAAATAAAGTCCATACTCTTTCAATTCAAGAATAAGTCTCAAAAATCCTTGAAGTGAAGTCTTTGCTCATTCAATTGGAGAAATAAGACACATGAAGCGAAGTCAATACTTTTTCAATTCAAGAGCAAGTTATCAAAAATTCTTAAAGTGAAGTCTATATTTCTTCAATTTAAGAACAAAGCATCAAGATTTTTGAAGTGAAGTCCATACTTCTTTAAGAACAAGTCAATAAAACCCTTGAAATCTAAATCTTTTCAACTCAAGAATAAGTCATCATGACCTTTGAAACAAAGGCAAAATTTATTCAATTTAAGATCAAAATTTTAAGACCCTTTAAGCAAATTTCAACTAAAATAGAATCATAAGATATTTCTTCGTAATAAGAATTTTTAAAAATTACATTTTAAAAATCTGATAAATAAAATTATTATTTATCTTTAAATTTTTTAATCTTATTTGCGACTCAAAATTTGTGCGTACAACTCTTTTAGCCTCATTTCTCTTGTCTTCTCTATATTGTATTGTACAATATTGTAAGATAATTAAAAAAACTCAACAAATATTGACTTTATATATATCATGATATTTGGCGTACCGATTCTATTATATATCTCATCATCGCTCTACTGAAATAGCAAACTTAAACATCTGCGAAGGACATGCAAATCTATACGACAAAATTCTCACCCACTTTTGGCAGGCACAAAATTTAAGCTGACATGTAATTAGAATATCGAAACAAATTTCACACTATTATTTGCAAATAATCTCAAATATTGGACTAAAATCAATTTAACTCATTCACTATTAAGATTTTTTATGTCAAAAATTGGTATCCACCAGCTAATTAATCCAATGTGTGAGTTCTCTCTAATTAATTTGTCACTCATGATAAATTAATGAATATTAAATTATCAAAAAATTTATATTGAATGTATTATCAATATATAAATTTTATACGTTATAAGTGAATCAGATGATATCATCTTGTTAAATAATTATATATATCCATTAATCTCTCATGTGTCTAATTTTTGTAATTCATGTGTAATTATGGAACTCATAACTTATTTGTTTGAGCTAATTTTGATCTCATATATATTTATTAGTAATAATCATGATTGTGGGTTTTTTTTTTTTATACATGATTGATGAAATTTTAATATTTTACAAATAAATTAAAAGATAAATGTAATGTTTTGTTATATTAATAGTTTAATTATTTTTAATATACTTATAAAATGATATATATATATGTATATGAATCATGAATATTTAAAGTCATATAATGGCAGTGCTTGCTCATCTTCTTGCCACCATTGAAGTTGCAGCTTTCGCTGGCACATGTGCAGCGCCGCCCAGGTATGACCAAAAAATTAAGAAAGGAACACTTGGTTATTTAATTTACACCACACAAAAAAAAAATATGTTATAAATATGTCAGCATGGCTAGCTAGCTAGTTGTAGTACAACCATATAAATATCCATATCCATAACAGAGTTCGTCAAAACCCTAATGGGCCAGCGTCTACATGTTTTTGAAATTATATTTTATCTTATATATAGATTTCAATCCGATCCTATCATCAGCGAGCCTGGAAACCAGGTTTGTACGGTCTCATATTTAATTCATTTGTTCCATTTTTACATGAAGCTGTTCACAGTGAACAAATAGTTAGCTTGCTTTGCTCCATCTCCCATGCCAGTTTAATTTCTTTCTCCTTTGCCAGAGGCGTACAAAATTAAATTGCAAGGACCACTTGCCACTAAGTACAAAATTAATGCCTTCAACTCATATGGAGCATTTCCCCTTCTTTTGGGATAAGTAATAATGATCATATTGATCTGAAGATCAAAGAAAAATTAATTAAAATATATGTGGGGTTGATCAGATGGTATCCAGCCAAGGTCATAGTAATTATTTACTCCATATTTTCTTGCAAACTATTGGGTTAAATGTTGCTACTTGTCCGGACTGCGGATACTTTCACATAATGGGACGGAAGGTTTCTCATAACGAGAGATAACTGTCAGAGAATTAACCGCTTTGTCAAACATACCAAGCTCAAGCTCAAAAAGGTCTTTTTTTTTTTTTTTTCTTTTACAAACACTTCACTACACATATATTATACATATTACTAATTTAATTAACTACATAGAATATATATATATATGACAAAATTAAATTGCAAATTCTTATACGGTATTGCAAGTTACTCCAAGCATTAATTCTTGGATCGCCTTACTTTATCTTCGTTTCGTGGTAGTCATTTACTTTTCTTTCAATTTAGGTTTGCTTTGATGAAAATATACATATTTGGAGATGGATGGTAGGAACCGCACGCATGAACTATCTTCGTTTCATCGGCTGGTCTTGTCCTTTGTGATCGATCTTTCTGTTTTCATGTACTGAAGTTTGAAACTATAGCTTTTTTCTTTTTTTTTGCTACATATATATATATATATATATATATGTATGTATTTAGATCCCACCGATCCAAAGGAGAACCTTACAAATGTACAAGGATGAAAACGTGGATATATCGCCTTACCATACATAGTAGACATAGTTGCTTTATAATTTGCTTAGATTGAATTTAAACAATTACTTATAACCTTTTGCTTTTGGGGGGTCTTTCGATATTGCCTTCTGTCACACAAAAATATTGTTTCCCAAAAGCTAAACAAAAGTGATAACCCGTAAAATGCAGATGATGCGTATCTCCATGATCACAGTTAAGAAGTAATACTAGTCCTGATGAGCATGCAAAAAAAAGGAAAGAGAAAACAACCAAGTTGTTGGCAAATTAATAACCCAATTAAAGTCTTCGACTAATTAATTAATAGACATATACATAGCTCTCTATATATGTCCATGTCTTTCATCATGTCTTTTGTTTTAGGTTTATTATGCCTGTTTCTCCCTTTTTTACGCCACTCTGCCAGGGAAGTGGCCCTGGATTGCGGAATGTGAAGGCAATTGAATAAGACTGAACAGCAGATGGGTAGCACCTGAAATATTACTTCCTTTTTTTGATTGCAATAACTCATCAGTTTGGGCTGTGTTATTTCTCCATCATGGGATGGATGACCTGCCATTGGATATATATAAACAATTTGTTTGTAGGTTTGTACCCTCACTTCTACCAATGATCATAAGCGAAGCAAACCGCATTTCGTTTTGGCTTATTGGATTGCCCGAAAATATACATATACGTCAGTTAGATTTTGCCTCTCTTATGCTCAAAATTTGACAACCAAGGCGATGGATAGATGACCAGTCATCGATTCCTTTTGTCAGGAGCTCATCTTCCAACTCCTAGCGTGTCGCCCTCCGAAGTTCTTTTTTCTTTTTACCACACTGGCGGCACCGAATTCATTGTATCTGAAAAATCATGTGAGAAAGAGGGCCGGATCAAATAAATCATCAAAACAATTTGCGCATTTAGAAATATACATTCTAAGTTCTAATTGCCTAATAATATTCCACTACTCTTTGTAGCCAACACGAGTAGTGAATATGATCGTACCTACAGATTCTCCTTCAAAGGAAGACGTTAGGCTTCAACTTCCTGATATAGGGACCGATGTATTTTCAGATTATCTAGAGTTTTTAGTACGGAAAAAAATTTGGTCTACTCACTATCATTTGCATATGAACACTTTAATTGCCATTTGCCCTTAATAGGATACCATTATAAACCTGCAAGTAGAGAGAAAAAGATGGCAGTGGACGGATAAAATTGTCTTCTATACTTAGTTCGGAATTCAGAGAGCGAGGGCTACCATCCACTTAGGAATAGTATGGATTTGGAATGATGGTGGAATGGAAGTGATCATCTCCTTTTTCCACGATATGACCAAATGTTGTATAGACAGAGATAGCTACGTTCCTTAATTAGCTTAATTTGGGCCCGGAATCAGCCGGCGTTTATAAAAAAGAAAGCAAGCTTTAATATAAGGTCACTTTATTGGTTGATGAATAACCGGCCACATATAAATATTGTGGAACTTTACAGACGTTATAATAAATAAACCAACATTTACTTGTTCAGCTATAATTACATAACCATGCATTAATAAGTAGTTTGACAGCCATCCATCAGTATTCACTACTACTTATAACTTATTGTTTGATCCGATGTATAATTATTTATTGTATCAATTTCAGATATATAATTGGATTCCAATTTCAAATTAACACCTCCATGGCACTACAAATTAGCATCTGTTTCAATTAAATAGACTTGCAGCTTAATAGCTCACCGTCACATAATTTGAAGAAACAATCCTATGGCTTTAAGTGGGGAATTTGAGCGGGAGCTAGAACTCGCCGATTATGATATTCAGACATTAATTCCTTTGGGGCATGTGGAATAAAGAAGACGGACAAAAGGTGAGGTATGTGCTTGTTGTGCTGGGGACCGAATACGCCAAAACAAGCTTGGAACTTAGGACAACATCGTTGTAAAGCGAGGTTCTGAGAAAATTAACGACAAAGACAACTTTACATTGGGCTTATTATCCATTAGTTGCAAACGATTTTAGCAAAATATCATAATAATAATGGATCAACACAATATTATCTTGTACTTTACTAAAATTAATGATTTCAATAATCTAGATACATTTTTTTAAAAATTTTTCATTCTTTTGATAACTACTAAATTTAATTTTTCATTGAATATTGACAATCTTTTAAAATTTTAATCTATCTTTATTCTGTTTAATTTCTATTTACTTTGCTATCTTAATGTCATATTACATGCCTTATCTTAATACGAAATCTCAAAGAATCTAGCTTCTTTTCTTTTTATCTATTTTTTAATTCAAAAAAAAAAAACCATAAACATTGTTTGTCATATAACATAATTTTATTGAATATTTACATTACGTGAGCTGTTTGGCAACTGACTAATGATGATAATCAAAAGAAATGAAATATATGATAGAATAAAATTCTAAAATCTTATATCATATATAATATTATATTACAAAATACAAAAGCATCTGATAAGTATTGTTTATATAAACGTTTATGTGGATGGTTTTGCTATTTGACACATAAAAAATTACTTAAAAAATTTACTTATGTGGATATTTACATTGATAATTTTTAAATTGTTAACAACAAATTTTAATTTAAATATGTTATCTTTTTAAATTAAATGAATTTTTAATAATCTAGAAATATATTTTTAAAATTTAAGATTTTCAAATGTAATAATACATTATCTTTTTAAATTTTATATTTTTTGACATATAAGAAATTACTCAATAAATTTGCATTTTTTATATCCCATGTAAATAATTTTTAAATTGTTGGCAACAAAATTTAATTTAATTATATTATATTTCTAAATGAATTTTAGAATAATTTAGATATATTTTTAAATTTAAAATTTTCGAATGTAATGATATATTATCTCTTAAAACATATTTTTTAATAATTTATATATATATATATATATATATATTACAAGGTATGTTATCAGATAAACATGTAGAGGTGGATGTCTATATAGATAATTTATTTTTATGACATGTAGAATATATTTTAAATTCAAACAAAAAGTTAGTATTTATTTTTAAAATTTAAAAATCTAAAATAGACATCTAATCTAATACACATTACAATCACAAATCAATTTACAAACTTTTTTTTTAAATTTAAAATTTTCAAATATAATTTTTTTCATAAATTTCCTTATAATTATCTTTTATTATTTGATTTTTTTAAATTAAAAAATACACATATCTATTATATATTACTTTTAAATTCAAAAAATAGTTAATAAGTCTAAAGTCATCTATGCCTCATATTTGTCATTCAAAATTCCTATATCTAGATCGTGTATCCTTCATCAAAATTTTTTTTTTTATTTTGCTACTTTCTTTTAAATGTATATTATTATTATGATTTTATTATTAAAAGATCATTTTTAATTTATTTTTTATTTTGCATGCATTTGCTAAATGTTTATTTGTTTTATTCAATAATTTAATCAAGATCACGAAAGTATATAAATACTTTTTATGAATATATTTTATTTTTTAAATAATATACTTTGTTCTTCTTCAAAAAATAATTTTATATACGTTAATTTTTTTGTATACATCTTATCTTTTAAATTTTTTTATTATTTTGACTAAGATTGTAATAGTAATGATATGTCAAATACTTTTTTATAATTTAATTACCTTTTTATTCAAAATTAAAAAAGAAAAGCACAAGAAATGATTTTTCAAAGAGTCCAATGGCAATATGGTCCACAAGCAAGCATACTATATGATAAAATTCAAAGTAAATTCAATTCAATTTAATTTATCATTATTTTATTTTATTTATTTATTATGATATTTACAATAATAAAAATAAGCATAAATCTAATTTATGTTTATGCATATATATTTAAATAAAATAAAATTAGTCAGCTTATAATATAGTTTATTCCATAATTACATACTGTTGCAAAAATTTATTCCATAAATGCTAACAAGACAGAAATGATATAATTAAAAGAGCAAAATGAATAAAAGAAAATAAAAGGATGTGCGTGCAAGCGGTGATCAAAATGCAGTCAACGGCAGTCTTTAATGACTAAGTCGCATGGAATCCTATCCTACACCAACCTCAAAAAACAATTTTTTTCTGTTTTAAAACATAAAAAGCGCCTTTTTTTAGTTTTTGTGTCTTTTCTAATTCCTTTTCGTACAGATCAATAGTAGTAATCCCATTAATCCGGTTTCGAATTTCAAAATCGAAAAAAAAAGGTAATTTTTTAAAGAACTTTGAAAGCAAATACCTTGTTTTGTGGAATATCCAAAAATCCTCTTAAGAAGCGAAAGCAGAGATAGAAGAGAAATAGATGCTTTGATCCATTGATTTTTGTTGTCATGGCTGGGTAAGTGCAGCACTCTCCTGTCTCTTGCTTTGGCATTCCTTTTTTTGTGTAATACCATAAGAAAAAAACTACATCACTTCGGGTTCTTAGAGCAGTTGCTGATGTTACTGTTCCTTGTATTTGATGGGGTTGTTATATTTTTTTGTTTTTGGATCTTTAGCTAAATCCTTCCCTCAACTTTTTTTTTTGTCTTAAAAATATTTATTTATTGATTTTCTGGAAATTTGGTAGAAAGTGAAAAGACCATCTGGGAAGTTGTTAATTCGTTTGTTTGTTTGCTTATGATTAGGAGTTTTTTTTTTTTTTTCTTGTTTTGGATGTACGTAGCAGATATAGATGATGTTGGTTTTCTGGGTTTTTGATTTACTAACATGTAAGTGTACATTAATAAGGTGTTTTTTACCACTTAGGTAATGGATTTTCTTTTTCTTTTGCTTTCTTCTTCTTTCTTTGCTTCTTTGATGGAGAATCTGGGAAAGAAAACATTTTGTAATCCGCTCTGTCCTTGATTCCCGAAGATAGTGAAGGCTAGTTCTCCATAATGGTGCTAACGCTTTCTTTCTTCATTTCTTCAATTTTGATGTTCTGAATTGAGACTTTGAATCTTTTTAGATGCTAAAATATGATGGATGATTTTTCTAGAAATTATTTTTATTATTAGACTTTGCTTTTTGAATGTTATGGATCATGCCCTGCCTATGGGGATTTACATGCGATCTTCATTCATACCGTTTTTTGGGACCATTTGTAATCATCAACAATATACTTCAGTTAGGTAATACAAGTTCTATGTTTCCTGGTGCTAGAAGTATTTCTGATAAGCATCTTAATGCTGTTTCTGGAAAGTAGAAACAATGAAGGTCTCTTTTTGAAGTTTCTTAATTAAGAGAGAGAGAGAGAGATATTCTGTCAGTTGAATGTCCAATGATGTTATTGATTCATAGTTGTTGCAAGAATTTAGTTTGTATATACATAATGTAGCAGGATTGGTGTTTTCACATGGTTTAGGGTTAAGGGTTTTGTTGTATGCCACAGTATTCAGTTGGATAACTTCTTATTTCGTGCTATATTTGTCATTGTCTCTAGTCTTTTGATAGTTTGACTTGTTATCCGATATGGATAGGATTATATAATCCTATGGGGAAGGAGAGGATTGGATAATCCTATGTGAATTAGCTTATGTAAAATGAATTGAAACTATTTTTGTTATGTGTGCATCAAAATAAGATAAAATCAAGACAATTTACATATTAGTTTTGTCTTGTCCCATCTTATCCATAATCCTATTTGCCAAATGCAACCTAGCTTTTCTTTTTATTTTTGTCCTACCAATTGATAGCTAGAATCTTACTGTTAGACAAACAGATTTCTGATTTCATTTTAATTAGGCATCATAGACCTACTCATATTTATGACATTTGCTCATCTTTGGGTGCTTATGCAGAACATGGTTGGTGGATGGTAACAGGATTGCAACAAAAATCAGGAGTGCATCTGATCCTGAAAGGGTGACATGGAAAAGCAACCCAACCAGATCTTGTCCTAATTGCCATCATATTATTGACAACAGTGATGTATAAGTTCTATCTTTTCTAATGCTTCAAGTAACATGCTTTCGATACCTAAAAGAGATTAGTTGAACAAGTGTATCTGTAGCACTTAATAATACATTGTCTGTGCAGATCATAATAATGCGTCTGAAGATTATGTTAGTAACACAGACCTTTTTTTGAGTTCTTATTACTACCTGCACATCTTCTATGATATTATAAACAATAAAATTAAATTTTCATCTGGTATTCCTTAAGATATAATCAGACTTACATTACTGCTAGTTTATAGAAGCTAAGATTTTACCATATGGTATCTGAAATAATGGCCATCTGCATATCTGTACTAAAATTTATTCCAGTGTTCTATCTGTCAAGCAAGGTACTCTGTATTGCAAATACTTACTCTACTCTAACTTGTAAAATCGTCATCTCACCTGAACTAACTTCTGTCTTACAACAATGTATCACTTCTATAGGAGCAAGATAACTGCCTACGATTATACATAGTTGTTAACATGTGATGTGATTTACATCTTGCATCACATGTCTAGGTTTATTGTTAATATACCGATTATATTCAATTAAATTTGATGTTGTGCATTTTTTATGATTTTGACAGTAACTAGCTCAAGCATCAGTGTTTTCATGGACATGTAAACAAATCTCATGATATTCTGATTTGGCTAGTAAAATGATTTTTCTCTTGCTTGACTTAATAACTATAATTATTAGGGCATTGTTTAATATTCATAACTATGAACAGTAGGACATTGGTAAATGTAAACAGCAACTAAAGGTGTATGATTCCAGGTCAATCAAGCATGGCCAGGATTACCACAAGGTGTCAAATTTGATCCATCTGATCAGGAGATCATATGGCATTTACTTACAAAAGCTGGTGTGGAAGATTCAAAACCCCATCCGTTCATTAATGAGTTCATTCCAACCATTGAAAATGATGACGGAATCTGTTATGCACATCCCCAAAAATTACCAGGTTGGTAAAAGATTAAGGGTTTCTTCTACTCTTATCTCTAAACCTCTTTATTAACATTAATTGAAAAAATTGGAACTTTAGGTGTTAAGCAAGATGGAAATGTGTCACATTTCTTTCATCGAGCTGTCAAAGCTTACAATACAGGAACTCGGAAGCGCCGAAAAATCCATGGTGATGATTTTGGTGATGTCCGCTGGCACAAGACTGGTAGGACAAAACCAGTCTTGTTGGATGGTGTTCAAAGAGGATGCAAGAAGATTATGGTTCTCTATATGACCATGCTCAAAGGTGGAAAACCTGAGAAGACAAATTGGGTGATGCACCAATATCATCTAGGAATCGAGGAGGATGAAAAAGATGGGGAGTATGTTATTTCTAAAATATTTCATCAGCAGCAACAAACCAAACAGGCTGATAAAACTGAGCAAGATTTACCTGAAATGACTGATAGAATGATTGTTAAAGTAGATCCAGTCACTCCCAAGTCTGTGACACCTGATCCTCCACGTACAGGGAGGCAATGTCATGAACATGACCAAGGACATGAGTATACCATTACTTGCGTCAATCCCTCTGCTCAGGTTAATTTCTTATTCATATTTTCCTAGCTTGCAGCCTTGAAATTCTATGTAGATTGCTTTTTATCTACTTCATTCAGTAGGGTTACATTTGGAACCATATTCTCTGCAGCTACCTTCCCACAGCCGATGTGTCAGTGCTTTTGGATTAATTTCATTTCCCTATGATAAAAAAAATTGTTTTCTAGGAGATTGCCATGTGATGAATTGTGGTTAGTAACCAGTCACAGGCAACATAATTTATGTGCACTATAATGTAAGTGGTTGTTTAGAAAGAGGCCCTGATTTTCACCTTCTCTCAGGTTTATTCACCAAAACATCCTACAATGCTGTATGTAGAAGATGAAGTTCAAACTGAATGGGAAAATTCCAGTCACAATGATCTACCTGAACCAGAAAATCATCTTAATCAGATGTTAGATAACAATAATGATAATCATGCTGAGGAAGACCCAAAATGGTGGGATGGTGAGTCACAGTATTTGTTGGATTCACAACAGCTTGTGGAAGGGCTGTCTCTTTGCGATGAGCTGCTTCAGAGCCAGTCACCAAATAGGGATGCTAATGGTAAGGATGGAGCACTGGACTGCAAACCCCGTCTTTCTGATTATGCTCAGTTAGGAGCAGAACATCTTAAGAAGGATTTGGAGGAGTGTCAAAACCTGGAAGATGATCCAACAAACATAGAGCTTGATACACCACCAGAGTTCCGCCTGAGTCAGCTTGTATGTTGTATACTCGACTTACTTGTTATACTATATAGTGAATATATCAAAACTTCTTGTTTCCCTATTTCCTTAAATTATAATGAACTTGTTAAATGGTGTTGTAGGAATTTGAATCACAAGATAGCTTTATTGCTTGGGGCGGCAGCAAGGTGATCGACTAAATATGTTTGTGGTGGATCATGAAGGAGAAAGTATTTAGTAAAGTATTTTGTTAAAACTTTGCCTGATTCAATGATCAACACTTTTGGTCTATGTCAACTGTAAATTTTGGTGGGAAGCTCGATCTATGTTTAATGATAGTAAAGATACTGTTGGCATTTGACCTGGCGGAGTTGCTGTTTGTACAACTACTGTAACCCATGTGTTCAGCAATGGTAGAAATGAAGCTTTGTGAAGAGGGTACTGTAGATGGTGTGAAGCAAAACGCACAATATTTTGTAAGCTTCTTCTTAATTAATATGGCATTGTTGTTTGCAGTGGTTGAGAGAGTTGATGCTTGTAACGCAACACATGAGAGTTATCAAAGACTTTTTTGCTTCTATATTTGCCAATGTTGGGTCATCGACAAAATGAGGCATGTTAAACGTTGTTCTCATCTCTACAAAATTAATTATAGATTTAACTATTTCATGCCTAAACTTGCCTTAAGACTGTACTAGTATAAATATGGATTTGTTATATCATACTAATCTGATGGGGAATGTTTGGCAATAATATAGTTTGTTTATAAATATAATATACATATATCTGTAAAACCAAAAAAAAAAAAAAATCCGATAAAATATAATTTGCTGGCTTCGAATGGGCTAATCCTCTCACAACTTTAACCATCAGTCACTGTCACTCAACTCTGTACAACGGGTATCATCTGTCAACCGCTTTCTCGTTAAATGCTGAAGTCAATGTGTCGTCTCTACTTTCCCATCATTTTCAGTTATCCTATCGGTATTCGGCCTGGCCTGGCCTGGTCGGGCCTCCCTCCCCAGTCCCACCATCATCCTCTTACTTTTCCCGCGCTTACTCCGATCTCATCGCCTTCGTCAAAGACGGTCAACTCGATTTCTGTTTTTACAGCATTGCCACTGACCCTTTCCTCATCGGCTCCCTCGAAATCGTCAAGATCAATCCTTTGTCTTACAACTCCGCCGGAACCGGCGATAGCTACATTCTAGTCAACTACGGGAGACTCTATCCCGTTTCACCACAATTGGTACCCGGTTTCACTTCCGACCCGGACCCATTCGGCCGCTCTTGGCAATCCGATTCTGATTTCCGAACTGTAGATTCTAAGTCCGCTAGAGTTATAACCAGTAAAGAAAAAATAACGATTAACAAACAAACACCGAATTACTTTCCGATGAAATTGTACCAATTGGCGGTGACAACTGACAGTGGTTTGGAATATGAATTGGCAGTTGATGCGAAGCTTGATTATTTGGTGTGCTTTCACTTTGCGGAGATTGATTCGACTGTTAAAAAGGCAGGGGAGAGGGTGTTCGATGAGCTGGTCAGCGAGAAGAATGTGAGTAAAGTGGATACATACAAGGAAGTGGTTGCTGAGAAGAATTTGAGCAGTTCTGTATTGAATGTAAAATTGTTGCCTGTGGTAGGGGCTCCATTGATTGGGCTGGAAAATTACGCTATGGTTTCAGCTGATTTGTCCACCGTTCCTGAGCAAGGTAAAAATGCGGAATTTGTTATGTATATCGACTTTTTTCTTTTGTTGATAATAATATGCATGTTGAGTTGAAAGTTGCTTACGTTAGTTTGGTTTGTCCTTGAATTGATTGGTTTCTTCTGTAAGAAAATTAGACTTTTTGGGTAGTTTTAGAAGCAACAATTTGGCAGCTTTCTGTTTTCAATGATGATAATAACTATTACTATGTTAAAGTGGGTGTGAGGGGGAGACAGGAGTTCTCATAAGGAAAACTGAAAACTTTGATGTTTTAAGCAAATGTTACAGAATTGCTGTTAGGTTAAGTAAATGTTAAAGGTTGCTCTTAGGTTATTTTTAATAGTTTAACATTAGTTTAAGCAAATTAGAAACTAAGTTGTAGCATGTTCATGTTTTTTATTTTCAGGGAATGCTTGGTTGATGGAAATTTCCCTGAGAAATATTATAATTACTCACTAGGGATGGTCATCCTATCACAGCCATCCATCAAGTGGATCTGGCAGAAGATAGATGGCTGTGATAAATATCTGAATTTGGTGAGCGAGAATGGTGAATATATGCTTCGTGTTCTAATTTCATTGGAAACTGGAATATACCCCTCAATGGCCTTAATGTTTGACATTGGAATGAAGGATCAGGACTTCCTTGAAGAACAATGAACGGACTCTTAAAAGGCATATTGATTTTCTTGGTTTAAAAAGTGAATAGGTAGAAAAGTTGAGAAAATTGTAAATATTATTCATGAGAAGAGTGTGGTTAGTTTTTCTTCTTGAAAGGCGTCTAGTGCTAATGTGACATTCTTTCTTGTAGTGATTGTGATGAGAGCATTGAAAGACTTGCTCCATGTGCCTGACTGAATGGGTTGGAATGGTGAATTGGTGATCCTTGTTCTCCTACTGATTGGGATGCTTGGGAAGGAGTTACATGTCATGCTAACAAGAATGATACAGGCCTTGTCATAACTCAAATGTAAGTGCTGCCTTTGCTCCTATTCTATAAATCACAACTCTCATAGTCAGTGAAATAAATCCATTAAAGTAAATGTAGATAACAGTAAGATCAGAGAGATGGAGTAATTTCTTAGCGAGAGGAAATATCGTGCAAAGATAGAGAGACAAAATGAGAGATCACGGTACAAGGGGATGAAGAAATTAGTGTTTGAGAGAGAAAAATGTTGTAAGTCATAAAGTGAGAGAAGCAAAAGATCAAAAGATTCTAGCTTGCAAAGGTGTCTTTACACATGGGTTTTTTAAATTATAACTTATAGTCCTCTGTTGTTGCTTTCTTTGAAATTATTTGTCTAGTTATTGTAAGTTCCAACTCTTTCTAACAGTTCATAAACATAAGTCCTAATTCTTTGGAGGGCACTCTACCAATTGGGCTTGGTCAAAAATCCCTTAGTGATTGTAAGTTCTAATTCTTTCATTAGTGTGAGACTCTTATAAGAGTCTTTTTTTGTAACATTCTTTTCTTTAAGTTCTAGATTTTTTTCCTTAATTAGCAAAAATATTGTTTAATTGGGTTTGTGCTGTAGATTTTTATGTCTTTTTTTTCTATCATTTTTTTTTGCTCTTCTATTAGATAGCTTTTGTCTTAACTAGCATAAATATTGCTTAATTAAGGTTTATCTTTTAGAAATATCAGGATCTTGTTATAAAATCTAAACTGTTAAGTATTAACAGATTTGGATTTTTAGGTGATTAGGTTGTTATTTAGTTCCTAGATTTATGCTCGGGTAGGTATGAAGTTTTTAGTCTATTTAAATCCTTGTAATTCTCATATCAATCAATCAGAAGTTATCTTCTCTTTCTCCTCTGTTCTTTTCTATTCTGTTTAAATATCTATATGCATTTTCACTGTCCATATGCTCTAAATCTTTACGGAGTAGTTAAAGATTGATTTTTTGCAGTAACATTTCCTTCTCCATTTCGTACTATTCTTTTAATTTTTCCTTGAAAGTTTCAAAATTCATGGACTTGCAAGGTGGTGGCTCAATCTTGAATCCGTGAATCAACTTTTTTCATGAATTGAATGTATTGCTTTTAAATTGTATTTTGCAGGGATTTGTTGAACAATCAATTCTCAGGTTCCATACCAGAAAGTTTAATGTCTTCAAATCTGCTGCTTGCTTACGTGTTGTTCCCATACTTTTCACAGAATTTAACACTAATTTTTCATTTTTTACATCATTGTTCTGCACATGCTTCTAACGATTCCTTTATTCATGCAAACTAAAATTTTCAATAATTGCATTATCTAAATATGTTTTTGATAAATATTATGATATGCTAAGCCTCTTTGTCTATGTACGGCCATATCTTCTGTAATCTAAGTGAAAATGAGGTCCATTTTATAGTTTCTTCTGTGTCATTTTGCATCTTCATCTTTGACATAGATATCTTCCAATAAATCACATGTTATCTCAAGGGCATTTGAGGGCGTCTTATTTAGATGTCCAAACCACCTTAAACATGTTTCTCTAGCTTTGTTCTCAATGAGTGCCATGCAAGTCCCTTGTATATTGATTCCCATTTTTATTTCTCCTTGTGTGTACACATCCATTGTAGCATTCTCAGCCCAGCCACATTATATTTTCTGCCAAGTTGATACTTTGTTGCCCTACACTTAGTCCATTGTGGATCATATTGCATGAGTAGGATTTCATGGACCTTATGACTGACATTTCTATGTATTTCCCGATTTTTTTTGGAAAATTGATCAAATATACCAAAATTGCTCTCTTGTTTGATCTATTTAAACTCTCTCACTTTCATTATTTGTGTGGCTTTATGTGTCCATGTATTTTCTAAGGCATGTTTCTTTTCTTTTGACATTACAATTTTGCTTGTATATTTTTCAGGAGACTTAATAATAACTTATTGGAAGAGCAAGTACCAGAAAAACTTTATTCTGTTGGTGTGCATGGTGGAACCATTGAGTATGTTATATTTCTGAATTTATTCTTTATTATGTTTTTGTTTTGAATTTCAATAAACTTTCAGAGCTTTAAAATTCATTTCCCTGCATGATATGCCTTTATCTGCTTTACATGCATGCATATAGATGACGGTTGTTTGCATTTTTCAACTTTTTCCCCTTTGTGTAACTTTTCATCATTATGGTCAACTAGTTTAGTGCCTTACAGGAGATATGAATCTTCCTTGGCTTCATTTATTCTTTTCATATTTTGTGGAAAAATTAATTTCTCTTTTCGCCTTGATCTTAACTGTCTGCTTTAATTTCTCTAATTATGCCTTTCAAATTTTATAAATATCTATATTTTTATACAATTTTATTATTAAATTAGCTGTTTTTTTTCTCCAGTCTCTCTGGTAACAAAGGCTTGTGTAGGGTACCTCCTTTCAGGATTGTCTGTTTTGGGAGAATGGCCACTTATCTAATGGTGGTAAAATTGCAATAGGCCTATCATGCTTCCTTTTTGTTTTAATGCTACTATTCGTGATCTACATATTCTGTACTAGGCAGGGTAAAAATGATTATGATTTTGGTCTACCTTCAGATTTAATGAGTAAGTATTATCTCAGAAGTTCAATTTTATTGGTTGTCTCTGCTTGATTTGTGTTTCAGTATTAAGATAAGTTACACATTTATTCTTGTCATCACATGACCTGCCGTTGTATATATTACAACTATCACTTAAAGAAGCAAAATTAAAATCGATAGGCTAGTAGAGCACTCATCCGGACTCCAAAAGCTCCAAGCTAACAAATTAATTTTAACTACTAAACTTTAGGACCAGTACTGGACTTGATTCCTGTTTTGGGAGCTAAAGTTCTTATCAATCACATAAAACCTGAGCTAAATTCTTCCAATCTTGAAGCTAAAATTTATTAGATCTATCATTGGAATCTTGAATGATATCCCAATCCAGGGCTATGATTCATTGATGGACTCAAATTTAGATAAATCTGATTGACTAATAAGCACAACCAGGACTGTTTAGACATTATATGTTAGTTTATTGCAGGGAATGGGGCCTAAATCTGTAAAGTGACAATGAGAAGTGCTTATTGCTTTTCACAAGATGCCGATTTCCTCTAATGTTTGTTATAGGCTGGTCTCTATTGAGGCAGTTGTCAATAGGCATCTTTCCCTTAATAACTCCCTACATTTTTGCAAAACTGAAAATTTATAACACAATAGAGGCATTGCAGCTTTCCTATGTTCTGTAATAGAGGGCTTGAGCACTGCTGTCACATATTCTTATACTGTAAATTCATTTGCATTTAAATGTGACTTTAATTTTGATTTTAACTTTAGTGTGATGTTAGTTTTGATTATAACAGAATAGAGGCATTACATTCAAATGTGACATTAGTTTTATGTTAGACCTTTTTGTTTTTAACAGCTAATCGGGTAGTATGCATTTTGTTTAACTCTTTGCTGTCGTTTTGATTTTAACTTTTGAGAGATAACCTTTTTTTTTTTCCAGTGCTTGCTGCGAAGAGGAACATGTATCAAAGACAGAAGTCCTTGATGCTTCTTGAAATGGAGAGGCAGCATGCGAAGGGATTGCCATCACTTCCTCTTAATCCTCATTAGTAGCCTTGTTGAAAGGGAGAGTAGTGATTGTGATAGTTGTCCACTCGCCAAGAGGGCATAGAGGGGGCCATGAATGCAATTATAGAGAATACCATAAAAGATGTGAATTGCTGTACCACTTCATAAGGAGTTCGTGAATTTGGCTTCCTTCAACAATTCGAACCAAATGGGGTCTTAGAAAGTTGCATTCTCCGGTAAAATGCATTGTATCTCACTTTTTTTTTCTCACTGATAAACAAAGAGATGAGACCACTGATGTATCATGACCCATTTTGTGACATTTGGTGAGCATTAGATAATAAATCCACACTTCAATTTTATAAATGACAGCACTAATGTAAACCAAGAGGTCCCAGGTTTGTGTCCGCTGCCTGATCAACTTTTAGCTGATTCTTATCACAATACTATACAGCACACTCTTTCTTCTTTTGATTTTAATTGTTTCATAAACTAAATGTTTCTGCATTCAGTGTAAAATATGAACGAACTTGGGCAAGTTGTTTTACTTGTGCTCTGCAAGTCTGCTTTAATTTTCTATTTTCATATTGTAAGCTTTGCCTGTTCTTTGTTATTAAATGAGGTGATTTTTTTTTTCCTCGGTAACTTTCCAAAGCTTGCTCTTCTTGCTTATTGTGTCTATCCAATTAGTTGCGAGAAAAATATAGAGTGCGGGTTATATAGTCCTCATTATATAAATCTAATTCCAATGGTATGTATATACATGAATTTGGGCAATCCGAAGCATGTAAGTGAAGAGGAATTCAAGCCAAAAAAAGAAGTCGGTTGGAAAGACGTTTTAATTACTGCCAACCAATCTGCACTAAATAAACTCGTGTAGTAGATTTAAGCATTTGACAGACAAAGTCAAAAAGGGTGGCTACTTACAAGCAGCAGTCAGTGCAGACTGCATAAATCAAAGACGAGACAAGTGGGGGGGGCAGTAGCGTAAGAAAGGGTTTCATACAGCTCAGTTTTTTCAGGTCCAAGAAATCCAATGGCAGTAATGTGATAGTTTCATATTTGATTCGGTCAAAAATGTCAAAACACAAAGCAAGCAATGACTTTGAATCTTTCAAAATCATTATTATTATTATTGGTGAGAAACTATGGGAGAAACAGATGGGAGTTACAGGAACAGGATGCAGCACCAGCGCATCTATTGATTTATGTGGTCGTTTCTATCTTCCATGGTCCATCGTAGGATTAGTCGTCGTTTATTGACTTGTCTCCTTATGCTTAATATTGAAATGAATTTGATCCTAATGTAATTCCTCATAAACAAATCTTTCAGACTGGATTTTGTTTATATGCCCCTTATTATGACACCATGTGCTAGTCTCCTTATTCTTCACCATGTTCTTGCGATCTCATTTTCTCTGCTTTTCTAATATTAAGATACATACATACATATATATTTATATTTATATATTCTAAACTCAGTTCAAACTTGACGAAACTGATTACGGGTGCACTGTAGATGCCATATATTGAAAGATAAAAAGTGGCTTTGAACAGACAAAGAAAAATGAGATTAATGTAAGGTCGCTGGTTAACCATCGTTTCATTTAGGCCCCAACTAAACAAACAAAGCTTTAATAAATTTGGCATCAAAATTAAAAACTCTTGGATTTTCCATGAACAATACTCTAATTGTAATTGATTGTTTAATTTTTTTTATGAATTCTTATATCGTGATATTTAATAAAAAAACAGATTAGACTAATCAAAAAGTTGGAGAGGGACTTGAAATTTGGAGTTGGCAAACTTGATAAAGAGAATTTGGATCGCATTAAAACCTTGAAAGGAGGCATTGACTTCACGATGCAAACCATTAACCCAAGTTGACTATTGTTTATGGCAAACTCTGATTTTATTTTAATTTAATGTTTGATTTACAAAACATAGAATAATGCAAGTACGATTTTCTCATGCATTTATAGAATAGAATTATTTTTCTGTCATTTTTTTTCACTTGCCAACTGCAACTATGAATAAGCACACTTTGAACTTTGACCATCAGCTCCGTATTATCTGAATTCACTCCCTTTCGAAAGAAAGAAAGAAAGAAAAAAACTAATCAGAAATCCGTACATCATAATTTTTTCTTTAATACAAAGACAATCAAAGTCTACATGCGCATTTTCTGATGCATGTTTCTGCAGATTTCAACTGATTTGTTTAATGTTAATTTACATGGGAGAAACAAGGCCACGTAGTCTGATCGAAAGAAACAAACTTAATTTGTACTACGACTAACACTACCATTGTTATTGTGGAAACAATTACCTTTGACAGATAAACATTATTATTGGAACTTAAAATTCGGTTTGGAATAAGGGTGTTTTTTTTTTTTTTAATTTTTCTTTGTCAGATATTTTTGTTTAGTTGTTGTTTGTTGGTTTCTGCAAGGAAAATGGGATCCAACAGATGTTAGGTGGCACATGTTTTTCCAATTTAATTTTCCCCCATTTTGGGGTCATTCATTCATTCATTCATTTGAAATTAATAAAGGCTTTAGACTACTGACTTTTCTTCTGAGGAGGCTGTCTGTCTGGGCAACAGGAAAATTGAGAACAAGAAAAAATGGAGAAGAAATAACCACTACAACAGCAGCACTAAGCAATTTCTTTTTCCTTTTTTTTTTTTTGTCTTTTTTATTTTTATAGGTCATTTGGGTTTTTGGATTTGTATTGGCTTTAGGTTTCAGTTTTATGATTTTATGAATGCATACTGTCTGTAAAGGGGAAAAAAAAGAAAAAGAAAGAGAAGAATTTACGTGAAAATGGATGTATAATTCATGAATATATAACTAAAAATCCAACTAAATAAAATTTGATATATGGGTGTAATTAGATGTTAAGAAACGTAACCATCAAAACAAAGAGTAGTCAGCATTTCCATCCCACTTGTTAAATTATTTTCAGCATTGCTGCCAATTGCTATGATACCTCCAGTCCACCCTTGAATATTTATTTTTGATCTAATTTAATTTGTTAAACTCTACATGTCCCAAGTTTAATGCTTTTTAAACCTAATTAACACCCTAACGCAGCATACAGAAAACTTCCAATAATAAGTTTCTATTTCCCCACCCTTTTCAATAAATTGTTTGGCAATTTCTTGACTTGGTTGATCTCCATATTGGCATTTAATTAGTGTAATAAATAAAGAAATTAAATTTCTGGCGTGTGCCACTGAATTTGAACCCTAATTTGTTTGTATAAACTATAAATAAAGCAAGTAGTAGTAATAGGTTTGGGATGGGAGATGAGATGAGGATTGACTAAGAAAATTGAGTGCTTATCTCTCTGCAACAGAAGAAAACAAAGAGTAAGTTTTCAAATGCCGTTTGCCAGCCAACCACAGCTCCCATCCATCTCAAGTTGGCCAAATTTTTATTTGACTTCTACAACATTCAGTTCATGCGTGCCATGTCGGCAACATAATTCCATTTCACTCCTGTCCTTATCCTTACTCTACCCAAGGCCAAGCCAAGGCTGCTCCAATATACATGTATAAAAGAAAGATATTTGCTATCAAAATTAACTAAGATGGGTTTTCTATTAACAAAATACTACTAATATTTAATAATATATATATGTTATTTTCACTTTATGTTTGTAAACTTTTAGATGATTTTATTGATGGGAAACAAATTAACCAATTGATTTATTATAAATTAGATGGTCCTACATTTGAAGACTCTTGAAAAACCATCTCAAGAAAGTAAAATTGGACAGCTAATTTTGTTGTTCCTTGACCCATTACTTGAGACAGTTATGAAAGATCAAAAACCATATCATTCCATTTATATATATGGTCAATATGAAAAGGACCCAAGTGATCAACGTCAAAGTCGTCTCCTCATTTTTTTCCCCCTTCTTTGGTGTAAATTCTAGAACATAGAGATCAAATGTTCTCTTTACTCACCGTAATTTCTGGAAATATTATATAAGATTCCTTCCTTCTTATTTTAATGTATACCTTTTTTTGTTTTATTTTTTTAAAAAAATTTAGTACACATAAAAATTTGAAAAAAAAAAAAAAAAAAAACTTAAAGTGAGACACAAGAAGATTAATGGAATGGAAAGAAATAGTTTTGCGTAGAATACTTTAGGATGTAAGTTATCCTGCTACTGCTGTCCAATCTAATTGGGATGGCAGAAAATTACGCACAGGCAAAAGACAAAGAAAACTGTTTCTTATCTCTTCAGTTCTTAGTTTCCCCCGATTAGGTCTCTCTGGCTCTGACACAACCTCTCAGCCAACGGGAAGAGTGAGTTCTGTGGCAAATGACGTACAGTGGGGATGGTGGGGACTCCTTTTCTTCCAAACCATGCCTTTGATTCCTTCTTAGTCAATAAAAGCAACTTCCAGTTACATGAAATATAGTAACCCCTATTGCCTTATCCACCACTCAACTCACCCCCATTTATTAGCCTCATTTTTTCCCACATACTATTAACAACTATGTTGGCTTGCCTGTGTCTTTGATATATTTTGCTTCAACTAGTAATCTTTAGTATAAAAAAAGGCTGTTGTTGACGAAGATTTCCTGTTGGACACTTCCATCCAAAGTTAGGCTACGTTTAGTTTGGTTTCATTACCCCAAGCTTTGGTTAGTTATTAACCACTCTCACCTCAGGTGTTCCTAAAGTAAGCAAATGAATATGCAATTTTCTATACTATTCATATTTCATGCTATATATTAGGCTGATTTCAAATTCATCATATCTTTTTTACTTTATAAGTTCAAGCATTCATAATTTAGGAATACAAGAATATTTCCCTCTATCAAATGTAATTACACATTTTACAATTATTTAAATATTAAGATAAAGAAGTTTGGATTATTAAAAAAAAAAAGATAAAGAAGATTGAACCATATATACATATATAGAATAAGATAGATTATCTTTTCTATTCTGTAATTCAAAATCTTATAAATAAATAATAAAATACATATAATCATTTTTACATTAAATTCATTAAATTTGATACCTGTTCCATCTCATATTATAATTATAATAAATCTTTATTATAATAATACTATTTTGCATTATAACATCGATCGAAGTAAAGCGTGTGGCTTAGTTGTGGAGATGATAGCATCACGTGGGTTGACCCGAAAAGGTTGGTCGCTGTCCACGTCGGTAGACGAACAAGCAAGTAGCAACTCGGTTTTATATTTTATATTTTTATTTAATTTTTCTATTAGATTGAACTAAACTTAAGAAAAAAATTAAAATAAATTAATCCATAAAAATAATTTTTTATTAATACTTTTAAAATGTTTTTCTTTCGTCGGCAATTGGGAGATGGTTGCGTCTGTGAACAGTGTGAAGAAGAAAGTTGGAAAGGGATAATAAGAAAACAAACAAAGGGAGGAAGAGGGATGGAATCATGGGTGTAGCTGACGAGGCAAAAACTTCCATAAATCCCAAATCAATATTTTCCTTCTCCTTTTTCTTTTTTGTTCCATAAAGTAAAAGGTGTAGATTTTTCTTTTGTTAGTTTAGGTTAATGTGAAGAAAAAGAGATTAAAAGGAGAAAAAAAAATACACCTTTTTTTTTTTTTTTTAAAATTTTTGTGGGGTAGTTACTAACTTTTTATGATAATATTAATGATTATAGTTCTTTGATATGGTGCAAATTGCAAAAGTAAAATTTAGATTCAGTTTCCTTTAATCACTACTGAAGTAGCGTTATCCCAAATATGTTTACTTTTTTTTTTTAATCACATTTTATGAAATACCTTTTAAGAATATTGCATGCTGTATAATTTATAGTCCATAATCATCGATCAGCAATTAATTTTGTAATAATTACTATTAATTTTAATCACATTTTCCTCAAGTTCTAATCACTAATCATGGGGTATTGATAACGATTGAACAACGAGTGGCTTAGTTTTTTTTTTTTTTATTAATTATAATACAATTATTAAATTTTAATGATTTAAGTCGTATTAGCAACAGAAAAAGTTGACGCCCCTTCATTTTCATATCATATAATTGTAATTATAACTTATTATAATTTACGTATATATCATCAAACTTCCAAATACCTTGAGATCATAAAAAAATACTAAAAGGTAAATGTACGTAGTCAAGTTTTTTTTTTTTTTTATATATTATGTAGATATGATTATATATCTTTGTCATACTTAATTTGGATGTTATCGTAAGGATCAATAGACACTACAAAAGCATTCTTAAACCACAATTTTCCTAGAGCATGCATCCAAATTCAAGATTCCTCCACACACGCACACACACACACACACATGATTTTGTCACAAATGAAAAATTACATCTATTTATCTATCTATTTATCTATAAAATTGACATGGCATGGGCGTCGGTGGATCTGACATGGCGCAGCCTTCTTGAGTCATAAATTAAGTCATCTACAACCGAAAATGCCCTAGGTATTGGGAAAGTGGGAGCATGCATGATATTCACATGAAGAGAAATTTATAATTCCATTGAGATAATCACAAAGGTTTTATTTTGTTGCAAAGTTAAAGAAGTAGATAAACGCATGGATTTGCTTTCGAAACATACTATAGGCACTAACTAATTTATAATAAGGAATTAAGTGCCAGTGACAACACGTTTGAAATTAAAGAAACCAACAATATAAGGGATGGGCAGGTGAGGGAGGCAAGCAAAGAGATAAAGCGCAAGAGATGATGGATGGACCATCCATTCAGTGAGTTACTCAAAACCCATTATGAAATAAAAGGGTATACGGAGATGATGATTAAAGGATAGGAAACAAAACCAAAGTGCAGCCAACCGTTGTTGATGAACTTTATCCCATTCCCATGTGTATATATATATATAACAATTTTCGTTTTGATAAGATATATATCAACATTTAAATTAAGGATTATTAAGATTCTTTTAAACCAGTCAACGGATTGTTTAGTGGAATCAAACATGTGATAGGCATGCAGGAAGATAATGTAGATTAATCCTTAAATTAGGTTTTAGTAACAAGTAGTAATATATTTGTGGTAAAGGTCAGTCAGTGCTTTAATTAATATTAATCAATTTACTAGTAGTATATATAAAAAAGGCAAAATTAAGGGGGGAAGTGTTTTTAGTTGTTGATGATTCCATTGTCATATTGGATAAAATTTGACGTATAAAACACATCATACTATGCATATAGAAATTAAATTAAATGATAATGGGGGGAGACGTGGCCCCTACCAATTGGTTGATTCAGGCAGCCGACCTAATTGTGGAAATAAAGTTGATAATGTAAGAGAATCACAAACCGTATCAACATACAAAATCAATCTGGATTTTTTCTTTTCTGGGAAGGGAAAAGCAAGAAGGAAAAGAAAAAAAAAAAAAGGAAACTTTGTCTGACAGGAATTCAGAGACAGAGAGATAATCCTCAAAAAAAAAAAAAAAAAAAGAGACTTATTATGTGTTTTTTTAATTATCTTTTAAGTATTGCTTATTTTAAAATGAAGTTGATTTTAATTAAAGGTAAATATTGCACATAGTTATCCTGTTATATTTTCTCCAAATTTATTGTTGCACTCAGAAAATTGATGTTCATGCTAAAATGATTGCATGGACATCTTGTGATTTATTGCATACATTCTTATGTTGTGATGTTGTTTCTTTTTTTTTTTTTTTTTTTTTTTTTTTTTTCTACGTATGCATAGTCTTAGCTTTTTCTGCACCGAAACAAATCTATTCCCCTTTTTCTTTTTTTTTCTTTTTTTTTTTTAATTTTGGAGATGGACCAAGTCTTTCTTTCCTTTACTTCTGAGTCAAAGGATGCATGTGATATACGTAATTTCAATATTTACCCACCTCAAAATCAGTTAAAAAAAATTAAAAAAAATATTGTGAGAAAACTAAGTTTTATATTCTAGTGAATGTACCACTAATTTCTTGTACCATGGATCTACTACGTAATTCTCCTTTGGCATCATAATACCATACATCTACTGTTTATTATTATTATTATTATTATTATTATTATTATTATTATTTTAATTTTATGGAATACCAAATTGCTTTAAAACTCTCTCTCTTTAAATAAATAAATAAATAAAAATAATTCAAAACTTACAAACCCTGATTTTCCAAGTAAAAGACAATTCCATTCTCATGTTAATCTATCCGCAATCCCTCTGCCTATATAATTTGTTTATTTTATTTATGCATTTATACTAGTAAAATAAAAGCAGAATTTGAAGGAAAAAACAAAGTGAAATCTCCAAGTAGGACCCCACTCATATCAAAACCAATGGCAAAACCAAAGAGCCACCACCGTCTACAGCGGTTGGTTTTTAATCAACTTGATTGTGGGTCCTCGGACTACTCCGTACAATATCCTCTCTTTCCCATACCATTATCTAATTTTTATTTCTCTAATCGTAATGTCACCAAATAAATAAATAAATAAATAATGAAAACTACTAATCACGGTCGTCTAGATCAACTGGGATATATACGTGACTTTTTTTTTTCTTTTATAAACTATATAATATATAGTCCATATGATAAGAATTAGTAGTAATTAATGAGACATAAAAACTGCTTAGATTTAAACAGTTAGGATATGATATGGTTGTTTTGGTTTGGGTTGCATTATTATAGTGCATGAACAAAGAAAGAGTAAAAGAGACAAGGGGAAACCCACTTGGCAGCAGAAAATGTCAATGTTGGTTGGAATTTAGAAATAATAATAATAATAACAATAATAATAATAATAATAATTTTTTATTATTATTATTATTATTATGAAATGCGGGAAGTAGGAGAGGAGAAGAGAAGGGAGGTACCGAGGTGAAGAACCTTGCCAATAAAGACAAAGAAAAGCTTAGATATCAGGAGAAGGGAATCAGATCAAGCTAGATAATAGTTTATGGGAGTTTTCTCGTTGGTTGAGTCTTCGATATCTGTCTATCCATACATCCCCTCGCATCCAGATCCAGGCCCACTACCCATCCTAGTGGAACTCAAAACTCTATGTTTATCCGGATTCTACTTTGCGGTAATAAAAACCAACAGCAAATAATACAACAGATTTTGAGCAGCAGCACAGATAAGATTAATTTCATTTTATTCTATATAAAAAAATGTAACGTCAATCAGATAAATGTTTCAACAGAGAAAGAACAAGGAGAGAAAGGGCATGCCATGCTGGTGGTCAGCAGCAATGCTCAGGGGGGATGAACTTCACTAATACACGGTCCACAGTCATGTGAACCCCATCAACTTGCTCACTTGGGTCCCACCTCACATACACAGCCCACAACACTCACGTACTATTGACTCTTTCTTTTCCACCCCTTTTTCTCCCAATCCCCCCCCCCCCACCCTCCCCCACACTCAAAAAAAAAAAAAATACTAGTCGTAGTTTTGAACTATATATGGAACAAAATATTCTTAGATATTTTTTATTATCAAAAATCATTTTTCTCCCTTCTGTCCCCACCCTCTCTCCCTTCGTGAATCTTCCTAGTTCCTTACCATCCCTTCACCTCTCCTAGGCTTGACCCACCGCAAGCCACATCCCCATATATCTCTACTTTCTTTTACCGTAAAAACCCAAGAAAAAAGATATGATTCTTTATTTTATTGTCAGATATATTTAACATATATAATTAAGTTAATAACAATTGAATTTAGAACAATTACCTATCCCCTATATATCTACAACACATCACCACAAATGCTCAACCCACAACTCTCTCTTCTTGTACTTTTTTTTCAGTCAAAAAAACACAACACAAACAAACCTTGTTCTAACGACTGCATCCTCTGTATATCTCTTTTTCCTGTTTGTACAACCCAGAAGCAAGAAAGAACAATGGATAGAAGCTGCATAGATGAAAGCACAACTAGTGATTCCATATCCATTTCTCCATCAAACATTTCACCTTTGCCGACGCTTACCAAATCTCCCAACTCTCTCTGCCGAGTGGCAAGTGGAACCAGCATGATTGTGGATTCAGAAGCTGGGGTCGAAGCTGAATCAAGAAAGCTCCCTTCTTCCAAGTACAAAGGCGTCGTTCCTCAACCCAACGGCCGATGGGGTGCTCAGATATACGAGAAACACCAACGTGTCTGGCTTGGAACTTTCAATGAAGAAGATGAGGCTGCCAAAGCCTATGACATAGCTGCTCAAAGGTTTAGGGGTCGTGATGCTGTGACTAACTTCAAACACCTCCAAGAATCCGAGGAAGATGATATCGAAATTGCCTTCCTCAATTCACATTCCAAGGCTGAAATTGTTGACATGTTGCGTAAGCATACTTACACTGATGAGCTTGAGCAGAGCCGGAGAAGCTATGGCTTCGATGCGAACGGGAAACGTGTGGTCAGAAACGACGCTGGATTTGGTTCCTTTGGTGTTGAGCTGAAAGCGCGTGAACAGCTTTTCGAAAAAGCTGTGACTCCAAGCGATGTGGGGAAGTTAAATCGACTTGTAATACCTAAGCAGCATGCGGAGAAGTACTTCCCTTTGCAAAGTGGAAGTGCTTCTTCGAAAGGAGTTCTTTTGAACTTCGAAGACGTCACTGGCAAAGTTTGGAGGTTTAGGTATTCCTATTGGAATAGTAGCCAAAGTTATGTCTTAACAAAAGGGTGGAGCCGCTTTGTTAAGGAGAAGAACCTTAAAGCCGGTGACATTGTTAGCTTTCAGAGATCAACGGGGCCGGAGAAGCAGCTTTACATAGACTGGAAGGCAAGAATCGGATTGGGTTCCGGTTTGGAGAACCAAGTTGGGCCGGTCCAAATGGTCAGGCTATTTGGCGTCAACATATTTAAAATACCTGGCAGTGAAAATGATGGTCTGGGTGGATGTAATGGGAAAAGGACTAGAGAAATGGAGCTGTTGGAATTAGAGTGTAGCAAGAAACAAAGGGTAATTGATGCTTTGTAACATTACCTAATTTTCTTTTTTCTTTTTTGGAATTTTGTGAATGTTAAGAGGGTATAGGAAGGAAAGAAAGCAGACTTTTGGGGGTGGGGGAGGGGTGTAGTTGCAATTTGCAAGTTGTAAAAGTTGAATTGTATATTACAAGACAAAAAGCTGAAGAAAGCTGAATTAGGTGTAATGTAAAACATTTCTTCCAAGAAAATGAAGGGAAAAATTGAAATGGATAAATGTCAATATGTTGTGTTCATGCCCTTTTGTACTGTTTTATATTAATTCCATTTTTTTAAAAAATAAAATCTAAAGTAGATAAATTATTTAATTTTTAAATTAAAATAAAATATATTGTTTATGATAACTTAAAAGTGAAAATAAATCGTAATTTTATATTTGAGATAATTTTAACAAATGATCACAAAATCCGAATTCTATATTTCATTGTGAAAGAGTCTTGAGTCAACCTTTTTGCTTATTAATTCCATGTTAGCTCTTTGCAGTTTTGTGGTGTTGTTACTTTCCCGATGATACCTCTATGTTGATTTGTTGACAACTATGCTTCATTCCAGAGACAATGGGGCGAGAGAAAGTATAATTAGGTACGCAAATAAAGTAACTTTTGTCTTAAAAATTGTTGGCTAGCTAATTGGTTACTGCGGCATGATTTGTCCAATACAAAGATGTAGTTTGGCCCTTCATGACATGTTACACTTTCTGCCTACCTAAAAAACATGATCTTAATTTCATTTGGTTGTGGATGAATGAAGATTTGGGTAAATATCTTTTAAATTCGAAAAGCAATAGTTTTATATTTATAAATAAACCCTATGATTAAGAGTCTTAGTATGTTAGGGGCCGAGTAGATATTGATGATAAAGGTTGGTGGAAAGTAGAATTGTTGTAAGGAATCTATGAATATGCATGCTGCAAATCAACAATTAGGTCTTGCACCATAAAGTTTACGAGAGAATTTAGTGGTAGAGATTTGAAATCTTTCCTTGTTTCCTCTTTTTCCCAATTAATTGTTTGTGGTAGTGCTGATCAGGGATTTAATCTTCGATTTAGATTTTGTTACATAGTTTTAAGAAAAATGCTTTCTTGCCATCATCAAACCACTTGAAAAGGAAAACTACATGTTCTTAATCTGGAGACTACTGAACGTGATCAAGTCTGGTGGAGGTGATATACTTAAACAAATCCAATTTTGGAATCGTTTGACTGATAAAGCTCTCCTAATAGACACATAATAGTGTTGATTACTTTTCTAGTTTCTAATTATATACACAAGTAAGTTCTTATTTGACAAATGGTTCATTTATAGTAGAATAATGCAAACATGCTATATTATATATACGTACTGCATAATTACATACTTTTGACATTGTTTTTTTGCTACCGAAAAATGTCAAAACCCATGGGATTCATATCAACGTGCGTAATTGCAGTCAAAGCTGGTATTTTCAAATGAAATTCATAACACAGTACTTAATCACTAATAACTCAGAAATCCACATGAGATCATTGACAATTTTTTTCCCCTTAATTACTTGACAAGTTCAGGGTGGAAACACATAAGAATTTAAAAGCATACAAAGATTGATTCCAAGGACTTTTTTTTTTTTTTGTCCGTATAAGAATTTTCCATGAATGTTCCTCCTAAGTTCCAAATAAATTGTTGCACATGATTTTTGGTTTCTCTCTTTCTTTGAAATTCATTAACCTCAAGTTTAGTTCTAAGTATTTGACTTTTTTTTTTATGACCACATTTATTTTGGTATCCTAATATTTCTTGTTATTAGTTGAAAATACTTTGAAAATATTGTTCAGTTGAATAATTAAATGACTAATGGTAAATAAAACAATTGGTTCCCTAGTAAAAAAATATTTAAGAGCTTTAGACTTTAATTCAAAAGTTTTTTGAAAATGGAAAGATCGAAAGAAAAAAAAAAGAGTTTTGTGAGTGACAAACCCAACAGTTGCTTTTTACCCAGTCGCATGATTAAAGTGGAAGCAATGTCATGTATTGCACCGGCAGAATATTGTGGGCTCAATCCTCCATGAGCTGTTTGATTTTGATTTAATGTAGCCAACCCAACGCCTCCACAGAGGGCCCTCTCTGGTTATATTTTATGGATTTAGAAAACCAAAGTATTTTGAGAACAAGCCCTTGATTGAATAATATAATCCTAATGAAGTAGAAAAGTAAGTCATTCAACAGGCCCATAGGCCCAATTTAGAAAGGATAAAGGTCCTGATCATCTTCGTATCTAACACTCGCATCAAACAAATAAAACGCAACAGGAGAAGTCCATGGGAAGCTTAAACAGAATCGACTCCCTTACCTTGCTCCTTAACAAAGGGATTCCAACTTTAAATCATGTCCCTTCATAAGAAGAATATAAAAACTATATATATTAGGTTATTTTTTATTGGACACTTATTAATTTACCGACTAAGGACACTAGCAACTTACAAACAACTTTTCCTTGTGGTAGGAGAAACTATAATGGCTTCATAGACTAAGGTCAGTCTTCCATTTCTGGGCCACAGAAGAAAGCATATAATAAGAGGAGCCATTAGAACCCAGTGCATTGGCAGCACTTTCTTTCAGTTCTTTAACCCTACTCCTAATAACCTTCCCTTCTTCACCCTCCATCACCATCCTCACCACTCTTTCTATCTCTTCTCGTCCAAAAATTGTCTGCCCTACCTCCACTTTTAGCCTAACAGCAACTCCAATTTCCTCCACTAGCAATGCCGCGTTCATTCTTTGCTCAGCATAAAGAGGCCATGCGATCATTGGCACGCCGTGAGCTATGCTTTCCAGCGATGAGTTCCATCCGCAGTGAGATAGGAATCCGCCTGTAGAAGGATGACCAAGTATGGAAACTTGTGGAGCCCATGATGGCACCACTAATCCCACACCTTGAGTCCTGTTCAAGAACCCTTCAGGCAAATAAGCTTTGGGGTCATTCACTTCACTCCCTGAGTTGAAAAATGTACCTGCACCAGCAGCATCCGTTGGCTTCCTTACTACCCATATGAATCTTTGTTGGCTCAGTTCTAGACCCCAAGCCAACTCAGTCTGCTGCTCCACTGACAAAGTCCCACCACTGCCAAACGACATAAAGATAACTGAATCAGGTGGTTGCTTGTCCAGCCACTCCAGACACTCAAAATCTGCTGTGCTTAATGTTTCTTCTTGTTTGATCAAGGGTCCAATCGGGTAAACAGGAGGTGCTGGTATCTGCTTGAAGAAGGGATTTTCTTCTATAGAATTGATTGACCCAGGTTCAAGATCCTCCCAAGAATTGAGAAATATCCCAGAGGCTAATGGCAGCCGACTTATATGATGGAAGAACCATTTGTACTCGTCAATCTTCCTGTTCCGAGCCTGGTCTACCAGGTCTTCGATCCGTACAGGAGTACAACCTGGGACCTGAATCGGTTCAGGAAGTTCAACAAATTCACACTCAACTTCACTGTCAAGCTTTGGCAGATATAGCATGAAGGCAGAGAACGCTACAGATGTAGTAGAAAATAAGTAGGCAGGGATTGACAATTCATTGCAAACATCAAAAGCTCGTGTACTGAATAAGTCCGTAACAAGAGCTTTTGGTTTACCTAAGGCAACAAGGACCGACTTCAGGAACCGAAGGCTCTCTTCTGTAATGACACAGAGCCGGGTTAGGATGAGCTTGTCATCCCTGGGCACTTGATCAACATCAACTGGAGGAAGTTTGACGATGTGGAGGTCAGGAGGGAAGTTAGGAGAGCAAAGGAATTGATCTTTTGCAGCTGAGGGTTCATTGGTGGTAATGACGAGTAAGCTGACACGGATGCCATGGTGAACCACCAGGCGCTTAGCGAACTCAAAGAGGGGAATGAGATGGCCTAGGCCAACACTTGGCAGGACTGCTACGTGGGGCTTAATGAGGGTTTGATTACCTACCTCCATATATAATTGCCAAACAAAAATGGCTGCGACACACGAATCCTATGGACTGCAAGCTTGGTTGAAGTAGCAGCTGCAGGGAATTGGGATATAACTATACAGAGAGTAGAATGCTAATGCACTAAAACATCTCTAGTACCAAATATATTCTTGTTTCAATGTGTGCTTTTGCTAGCTAACGGACAATGCCGCTATTTTTTTTTTGGAACAAATCAAGTGATTTTTTTTTTTGTTGGAATTAAGCAAGATATACATATACCTAATTTTTACCAGTAATCAGTTAAATGTTCCGATTCAATCAGTAAAGAGTGGGCCTTTTTCTTTTGTCATGGAACAATAATGCTGTGGCCATTATTATATCAATTTCAAGAGATTGCCGATTTTCTTAAGAGTGTCATGCATCAGGAGGTATATGTTAAGTTACGAATCAGGTTCACCATCATTTTCGGCCCCATTAAAATTTGAAAGGAATATAATAGATATATAGATATATATATATATATATATATATCAATACAAATATATTGAAGTTAACCCCAAGCAAATTTGGGGACCGTTGGATTAATTAAAATATAATTGAAATGACATTTGTCATAAGTCATTAATTTTTTTTTGTTTTTATTATTTGGATTGAATTAAATATAAAATTTATTAAATTGATATGTGTTATTTGAGATGTATTTAGGTATTACATGTGGTGTTTGAAAAAGAAAAAAAAATTATTAATTTATGTTTAATATGTCTTACTTGTTAATTCATATTTTATTGTTAATTTTTTGGACATCTTTACTTGATAGTTATATAAACAAGATGATGAAAATTCATGCGAATAATGTTTCATTTCATGAGGTTTTTAGATTTAAAAATCTTGTTTCGATCATGTCTTTCATTTCTATTTAATAAATTGTAAAAATTAGCACACAGGAAGATGATACATTGATACTGCGCATATAAATTTATTATTTTGTTGATTTTACTCTTTTTTTTTTTTTCCGAAATGATAAATTTTCCAACCTTTTAAGTTAGATTGTTTTGTTCTAGAAAAGGTGATGATCTATTTATAAAAAAAAAAAAAAAAAACCTTTGATTTGTGTGTCTTTTTCTTTTCTAGAGACAAAAAAAAAAAAACAAAACACAATTTTTAGTTCAGTTTCTATGATAGATATCTCTGAGTGAAACCGACTATCATGTATCGATTGTTGTGTTGATATTTCATAATTAAAAAGTAGTACTCCTAAGTTAATGCAAATATTCATATACTTATAATACTACAATTTAATGCTTATTTTCTTTGTTCATTCATTCCTTTTAAAAATTTTGGTATTACTTTCTTTAAATATTCTTTTATTTGCAAATTAAATTATTTAAATACTAATCATAGATGACTCTCACAAAATTTAAAAAAATTAAAATTTTTCTCTAATTTCTGTCTTCAACCCATGCCCTGGAATGTGTTTTCGCTTTTCTTTTGATGAACAATTTTAGTGTATAATTTTATAATATAGTACTATCCAATAAATATAATAGGTCTCAAGCTATTGTATAAACTTATGAGAAAGACTTATAAGAAATTTTCTAAATAAAGTTTATGAAATTTTTTTATTAAAAATATTAAATTAAAATTAAAATTGAAAATCAAAATCAAAAGGATTTATAAAGTTTAATGATAATATCAATAATAAGTAAAAAAAATTATTAAAAATATTGTTTATAATTTAAATTTAATGAGTATTTATTAAACTGTAAATTTTTCAAATTTTTTACTAGAAATACTTATTTAAAATATATTTTAAATTTTATTAATTTTTTATCAAAATTTGTTCACTTAATATATATAACAAAATTTTTTAATTCATCAATTTTAATTTTTAATTTTAATTTTTACTAAATTATTTTTAATAAAAAATTTCATAAATTTCATTTAAAATTTTTGACCTAAATCTTTCTCGAAAACTTATCAACATTAATATATTCATTTTGGAATATTAAATCAATGCTTTGTAATTTTTGATGGTTGCTTTTTCTCGTACCTTTCTTTCTTTTCCTTCTTTCTTATCAAATATAAAATATAATTGGAAGTTGTTGGTTTCTCCGTCCGTCTTCATCTCATGTCCTTTTCTTGCAACTTATAATTATGAAAATTGTCGTCTTATAGGGACCAAATTATTCTCATCCAAAGAATAAGCATCACATTCTTCTTTTCATAAATTAATATATAATAATAATAATAATAATAATAATATTTTTTATGACCTCTGGTTATAGATAGAATCCCCGCTAGATTTTTTTTAAATTGAAAAGGACCGTAATCATATGTTGTCCACTGATCTATGTCTATGTCCCCGGTGCAACCAGATAAAGGAGAACCGCAACCATGTGTTGTTGGTCCTTTGTCCTTGGTGTATAAATGCTGGTGTTGGTTTGCAACTTTTTTTAAAATTAAAATAATTGTTAGTTACAAGGCATGATCTTTTTATTTGTAAATCATAAATAAAAATTATTAACACACAATTAATTTTTATAAACCACTAACATATATCTAATTTTCATAAATCACTAACACACATCTTATTTTTCATCACACATTAACAATTCATGTATGCATAATGTAGTTGGTGAGGCATTCTTGCAACACTCCCTTTTGTGTCAATAGCTGCAAAAACCTAGTTTACTTCTTAAAGCTTCAAATCTAACTTTGGATAGAGCTTTGGTTAACACATATGTAATTTGATCCTCAATTTTGTAATAAAGCAAATTGACTTCACCGTCTTTTTGCACTTTTCTTGAGAAATATAATTTGATCTTAAAATGTTTAGTCCCGCCATGAAAAATAGGATTATTTGATATTGAAATTGCAGCTTGGTTGTCTATATGAATCTATGTTGGTTCCTTCTCTTTTATGTGTAAGTCTGCAAGTATCTTCCTAAGCCAACGTGCTGATTCACAATTGTAGTGGCTACAACATACTTAGCCTTAGCTGTGCTCTAAGCTATCACTTTTTGCTTCTTTGAGAACCATGAGAACATTCTTAATCCAAAGCTAAGACAAAACCTGTTGTGCTTCTCATGTCAACAACTAAACCTATCCAATCATTATCAGAATAACCATAAAGCTTAAAATCTTGACAGTAGAATTATTTGATACTATAATTTATTATGCCCTTAATATATCTAACAATCATTTTAGCAGCTTGAAAGTGCACCTCACCGGCATAATGCATGAATCGTAAGAGCAGGTTCACTGAAACATAATGTCTGGTCTAGTGGCAGTAAGATACATTAAACAACCAATCAAATTTTTGTACTAACCTTCATCAATTTTGTTTGATCCATTATCCTTGCTAAATTTTTTGTTCTGATTCATTGAGGTATTTATGCATTTGCAGTTCTCTCCATATGAAATTTCTTAAGTATTTTCCTTGTATATTTCTTTTAGCATATAAAGATTCCATCCTGATTTTGCTTCACTTCCATCCTTAAAAAAAGGGACATCAGAGCAAGGTCTGTCATTTCAAATACTTTAAGCATTTTGGCCTTAAACTCTTTTATCAGCTCTTTATCACTTTTTGTCACAAGCATGGCATCAAAATAAATAAAAACTATAATCAGATTAGCATTAGTTTCTTTTACATACAATATAGCTTTACTTAGGCTTTTAACAAAACTAATACTTAGCAGGTGTTTATCAATCCTACTGTACCAGGCCCTAAAAGCTTGTTTAAGGTCATACAAGATTTTCTTTAAGCAAGTAGACCTTTTCCTATTGTCCCTTAACTTGGAAACCTTTTGGCTATTCCACAAAGATCTCATTCTATAAATAACCATTTAAAAACATAAATTTTACATTCAGCTGGTAAACCTTTCATCCCTTCTATGTTGCCAAGGCAAGTGGCATTTTGATTGTATCAAGTCGTGCTACTGGAGCAAAAGTCTCAGAGAAATCTACTCCAAACACTTGAGCATACCCTTTCATAATTAATCTGGCTTTATATTTGTTTACAGAACCATCTGCATTAAGATTGGTTCTATAAACCCATTTGTCACTTATAAGTTTTTTATGTTAAAGTCTATCCACCAGCTTCCAGGTGTCATTCTTTTCAATCATTCTAAGCTCCTCCTTTATTGCTTCAATATACTTATCATCCTTCTCTACCTTTTTAAACTTTGTAGGCTAAAAACTAGCAACATTGCACCTTTTATAAATATCAAACAATGTCCTTATACCTCTAACTAGTACCTCATCTATGTCATCTTCAGGATTTTGCTGAAACTCTAAGTGTTGTTCATTTTTTGACTTTTTTTAGTTTCATTGTCTATCCCCTATGAACTTAACATCTTTGTTCACAAGAATTTTTTTATTTTGTGGTTGAAAAATTTTGTAAGCTTTGGATGAACTTTATATCCAATAAAGACTCATGGTTCTACATTTTTATCTAGTTTGTCTCTTCTTACCTGTGGCATATAAGAAAAACATAAGCAACTAAAGGTTCTTAGATGCTGCAAGTTTGGTTTATAACCAAACCATGCTTCAAATGAAAATTTTTTTCTGTGGAACTTTAGTTAGTAGTCGATTTAGTAGAAAGATTGCTGTGTTTACAGCTTCTACTCATAATTTCTTTGGTAGCTTTTTTTCATATAGCATAAACCTTGTCATCTCCATTATAGTTCTATTTTTCCTTTCACTTACTTTATTTGGCTGTGGAGTATAGGGTGCCATAAGCTGGTGCTCAATACCAGTTTATTCATAAAATTTGTAAAACTTGTCAGAAATGTATTCTTTTCCATTATCTAACCTTATTACCTGCATTCTACAACCACTTTGATTTTTCACCCATACTTTAAATTTCTAAAATACACTAGCAACCATAGATTTGAATTTTAAAAAAGTAAATCCAAAAAATCTGGTATAATCATCAATAAATATAATATAGTACTTACTGCTATTTAAAAATAATATTTTTTAAGGTCTCTTTACATCTGAGTGAACCAGTTGAAGCTTGTGTTTTGGTTTTCATACAGTTTGAGAAAAGGGACTATTGACTTGTTTGCCATACTGCCAAGCCAAATAATCTACCATTTTCTCTTCCAGCAATGGTACTTTTTTCACTATATCATATTTTTGCATATAAAGAAGTCCAACATGATGAAAATGTCCAAGTCTCATGTGCCATATTTTTGCATTGCTTGTGTTGCATGAAAAGGCTATATGCTTCTCCTCTATTAGATTTAGAGTAAAGCTTTTTCTTTTCATTTTTATCTTAAATGTATCTATGCCTTTTGCATATGTGATCTTACACCATTTGTTTTTGAATAATATTTTGAAACTTTTCTCAAGCAGTTTTCCAACACTAAGTAAGTTTTGATCAATGTTAGGCATATATAAAACATCAATAATGTATTTTAAACCTGTTAGGCTCTCTATGACCATTGTTTCTTTGCTCAT